GTGTGGCCTCTGTGTGAGCTAAATGTACAACCAGGTAGGAAATATATCATGTGCCCCTGCAGTCAGACTGCAATAATATCACAATTGCTGGCTCATAAATCAGGGTCATGGGAATTAAATGTTAAACCCCAAAAAATTTAAAAAAAAAAAAAAAAAAAACCCCACCCTTTTTGACTCATGACTTGTTCCTTGTGGATGCCAGTTTTTGGCGTACGCACAAATGATTTCATGTCCATATTCATGATTGTGTGTTTTTTTCACATTACACGACTTCTGTTTTATCATGATGTCATTATTAGGCGGGCATTTAAATAAATAATAAATAAATATATATATATAAACTATAACCCTATAGCTACGTATTTAGCGATTACCGCTCGGATTTTGACGATCGACACCGTATGGTAGGTTTTCCCATTACACTGTTATGTGAACTCTCTGTAGACCCATACAGACGGATTGCTGATGTTTTATATGTAGTTTTGCTTTTTTCACGTCATAAGCTTTTTACACTTGGGTTGGTGCTTTGCTCAAACTGTTTATTTACAGTCTTGTATCAAGGTTTTTTCGGTCCCGTCGCAGATTCCGACCCGCGTTCTTCTTTAGAGTTTTCGTTTTCCTACATGACTGGGCCGCGTTTGCTCCCCATACTCTTTGTGCTACATTGTTTTCCTGCAACCCCTCCCTCCCCCACTTTCCTTCCATGTTCCTCAGGTACGTCCTCTCTCTCTCTCTCGCTACCCTCCCCCTCTTAGTTAGCTGGGGCTGGCTGTCAGGGTCCTAGGTGTCCACCAGTTATAATTCCCCCTGGCTTCTTTGCCTTAGGCTAGTGGTCCCGCGAGGCCAACACCCATCCTCATACTTCGAGGTACAACGCCGCTCAGGCCAAATCATAGTTAGTCGCCTCGCATTGTGGCATATAGAGGGCCTCACCTGTCACTCCCATTCTATCTTATGTTTAACTATCACCGAGAGGCCAACACCCCGCAACAACGTTCAGTTGCCACGTTATCCCCTCGTGCCAACGCATAGATAGAGCCTTTCACTCCGCTTGGCATCTAGCAGGGCCTCACCTGTCACCAAACCTAGTTTTAATTGTTTCGCCTTTTTGGCATTAGCTAGTTTGCCAGCACACTAATGGGTCATATCTGCGCTGTTTATTTGTTTTTTGTTTTCTAGCATGTCTACACTGCCAGGCGGTGCTGTAATACTTCTCCTGCTCGGCTCTCCAGCTAGGTCTGGTACCCTGTCACACTGTACGAATTTGGCTACCCCTACCTCCTTTTCGTATCCTGGTATTTTCTTTGCTTCTTGGCGGTTTTTTAGGAGTTGTCTCTTATTCTCTCCCCGGCGGTCTTTCGGACATCTGAACTCTCAGTGTCACTGTCTGCCTCCACGGATACCGCGGTTGCTGGAGGGGGCCAGAATCGTTCTTATTTCTCCATTGTTCGCCCCCTGTTGTCTCCGCTGCCTTTGTCTATGGGGTGGTTCGGTTAGCAGTTTGGGTAATTGGTGTCAGCCACTCTGGCCAAGTCGCAGCAGGACTTCCTGCACTTTTTTCATACGGTCTTCCTGTAGCTCCACTGGGCATTCCACATGGCTCTACCCAGTGGCGGATCCAAGGGGGGGGCAACGGGACAATTGCCCCCCCCGAGAATACCGACGGTCTCCCTCTCCCTCCCCTGCCAGCCCTGCAATGTGCCTGCGGACCAGAGGGGAGATCACAGATCTCCCTCCCCGGTCTGCAGGCACTGTGCTGAGAGCCGGCAGGGGAGTGAGAGGGAGGACCCGGAGCTCAGGCTGAGCTGTAGTGGTTATTGTGTCTGGATTATTTCTTTAAATAATCTACAAGTGCCCCTCCCGAGATCAGGCTCTGGATCTGCCACTGGCTCTACCTGCGGCCTCACCCGTAGCCGCTGCCAGTCCTTGCGTTTCGGAGTCTGCCTGAGGACTTCCCGCCTTGTTAACTCCAGGTAGTCTTCTTTCATGTCTGGCTCTTTCTACTAACGCTCGCGGTACATGTGCTAGGGCCTTCCTTTCCTTTGGATGCTCATTTTTTGTGTATGATGTTGCTGTCTCTGTTGCTATGTTGTCTGTGATTGGTTTTCGCTTCTTTTGCCACTTCTAACTTACATTATTCAATAATACAATAGACTATATATCTATCCGGTTTACACCTTCACATGTGGTACAGGTTTACCATTCATACGCAGTTTCATGTCCTCATACCAGATCATTATCATACTCAAGGTGTTCAGGTTCCCGGACAAATTAAATCTTACAGATTTCCCATCACATCCAATTAGTGCAATCACTATCAGACCTATTAGATGCCTGTCCTTACGAATCAGGCACCAACCTAGTAGTTAAAGCCACCATATACCTGTTTTTTCGGTTCCTTAGACCCCGCATTTTTACCACATCTACCACGTCCATCTTGCAGCATTGCCTAAGGAAGCCTCACCTATCCTACAAGGAGACTATTATTTACTTTCTATACCCCACACTTGGTCTACCCAAGATGGTCAACACGTCAACATACCTTACTTCACCTCGCATAATTTAAGAGTGCCGGTTAAAGTTCTATGCATCTATTTACTCTCTCTTTGTAACCAATGCCCACAACCACAGATATCACTACAAGGGCCAGTCCTCACAACTACGAAATTTCATGCTATTCTTTAGTTCATTGTTCTTGAGGCTAGGTTCAATCTACCCAACTATTCGGGACACCCCTCTAGGATAGAGTGGCAACCACGGTTTCAAACTAATTCATATTCCCCCGTATATTTAATCAATGGAAGTTTCTCACCATATTCCCCATATGTACCACGTTCTGTACAAGATCTTCGACAGGCATTTACCTTATGACTATGTAATTAAGTTCTTTCTTATCAGTTGTTGATTTTTCTATGTTTTGGCATGTATCTATTTTTTTTTTTTTGCCCTCTTTTATTACAGGCCTACCGCGACTTCGGTTCCGGCATAACTCAACCGACTTATCTCTTCCTATACTATGCTACTCTTTGTACGCTTCCTATATGGCCTTATTTGCCCCTCACACAACTTTCAATAACGGAAAGTTTTCAATGAGGTTTTGTCTCTAGTGGCTGTCCCTCTGACTGCCACAAGAGGTTTGTTTATGGCCAAGTGTAAACGCTTCAGTTTCTCTGATACATTGTCTATGCACCAAAACCACTTCATTAATAATATAAAGTGGGATTGGTGCTTAGAGTGTACTTTAAAATCATCTCAGTTTTGTCTTTATTTTTATGTTTTTTATTCAGCAGAAAATATTGTCTGTTTTATATGCTGACAGTACAGATAATTATCATTCTCCATGTGCTGTCAGTGCTGGTTCTAACTTACAAGCAACAGTTTTTCTGTCAGTACTGCTTCCCCTTTGCTGACTCCGAGATATTACATAATCTGCAGCAGATGGGATATTCCTTTCTGAATAGCACTCAATGGGTTAAATGGCTCTAGCCTCTCTAGTGTACATCAAATTCAATGAGTGCAAGGGGAACCCTAAGATAAGGCTTTGGCTGAAGTAAGATGCACCAAAAGATCAAAGTAATCAGTTTCCCCAAAATGCTCCTCAAGGCAAGTTCTGGGATGTGTCCAAGTCCACAATATGGCGAGGAGAGATAAAATAATGCACCACCAGCAATAAGTGTGAAAGTGCTATCAGTAAACAAGCCAAAACAGGTCTATTTCAATGCAAAGTACTGAGGAAATTCATTTGTGCATTCATGTCTCCAACTTTTTTTTTTAGTTTAATCTGCAAAACTACTTACAACAAACTCACAGTTTTGTGGATAACCGGCAAATTCAGCAAATCCCAGTAATTAAAAGCCACTCTTGAAAGATCTGCCGTTTTTTTTTCTGTACCATAACTTGTGCAATGAAGTAATGTAACTGCTGGCGTAGAATGGCTCTTTAATGTCAACCTGGACTTCAACAATGTTTCCATTTCAACTACTCTAGTATACTATCTGCAATTAATTTTTATATCCTGACAATTCACACTGTAAAGTAACACAAGTTACTGTAGTGGTTATGGTGCCAAGAGTGCCTTGGTGCCCCAGTCCGGCTTTGTATAAAGTCAAACCATTTTAGTGTGAGTGGTGACTCCTTAGCTCAGGTCTGCAGCCAGGTGAGCCAGAAACTCCTTACCATAGGAACTTCCATTAGACCCGCAGTGCAGGACCAGTTCATTGGCTGACAATGTCATCTGATAGCTCTCAGAAAATGGGTTAAGCCCTGCACTGCTGGCTCAGCTCAGGCAGAGAGCTTTTGGCTGGCCTTGAGGTTGCTATGGAAGAAGGGAGCGACTCTCAGCAGACCCCAGGTAAGAATTTGAATCGTTCTACAATGGTTTGACTACTTACAATAGGGGGTGCCAGAGAACTCCTGGCATCATAACCGTTATTGTGGTTATGGTGCTTGGAGTTTTTCCATTAATGAATAATCCTTTGCGGTTTATTTCCTAAATACTGAGTTGTAAATTGAATTTTAGCTAAAATAGCCGCACTGTTACTATAGTTTATATGCTCGTTTGTAGGCCCTTCCTCACCTCTTGTGTCTGTCAAAATTATTTTGTAAGTAAGTTACTTTTCAAACATCCCCATTCTATAATTGTACAGCGCTGTAGAATATGTTGGCGCTATATTAATGCTATTTATAATAATAATTGAGTTGGAGCTACAATTTGTAATTTTATGCGTAAACCAATCTGTTTTCTGCAATTGATGTATGTACATTATGTAAAACAGGGGCAGATTTGGAAATATTCCCCAATTCTTTTAAACTGGATGTTTTAGCCTACATTTCTTAATCTGGATTCCAGGTTGCTACAGTTTAGAAGAATAACCTATCAAGTTTTGTTTTCAGAATTTGGAATGTTTGAAACAAGTTTCCTGTGACTGAGCCTGTTTGTGAGTCTGCTCAGTGATCTCTATAAGAGCAGATGGTGGGTGGATACAATCTAAAAGCAGGAAGCATTCTGCCCTCATTTTCCTTGTTGTGCTGCTGCTTCTTATATCAATGTTTTCTGATATTTCAAAACCAGATCCTGTCCTGCTAGTAAAGCACACTGACACCATGTGTGATGGGCATGTAAAGCAGGGAGTAGATGGCTGTCTGTCCCATGATTGACACAGGGGGCAGTGCCCAGGAGGAGGTGGTAGTCCTGAGAGCCAGCCCTCTGACTGTGAGTGCAGCCCATGTGCTGTATATCTATGAGTGAGGCTCAGGCTTGTGTAAGCAGTGCTGGGGAACCCTCTCACTCATTTGCTGGAGTCCAAGGGAATGTTTATACTTAACACAAACATGGCCGCCCTCAGAGCAGCACACCGGCTGCTGGCTCACAGTAAGTGTTCAGTTTGTTTGGCTATGGTGGGGGTGTGGGGGCCAGGACTGTGCTCTTTCTGTGGGTTTATGTGGGGAGGGAGGTCACTGGGGGTCTCTGTGTCCTCTGAGTCTGGCGCCAGTTTCTTAATGGCCAGCTAGTGACCTTCTACTTACCGATCCTTAGTACATAACACCTGCCAACTGTGTGTATCCAGTACCTTTACCTTCAATGCATTGTGAGCAGGCTGTACACACCCACACCATACTAACCGGTGATGTAATGGGAGAATATTGTATAATTTCTGTAATGTTACCCTCTATCACTATATATACACACCGTGCTTACTGTGCCACCCCGAGAGAGAGAGAGAGAGAGTGTATATATCTCTATCGTGCATACTGTGCCAGCCCCATAACTCCATACTATATGTATATACTGTGCCTGCCCCATAAACTCATACTATATGTATATACTGTGACTACCCCCCATAACCCCATACTATATGTATATACTGTGACTACCCCCATAACCCCATACTATATGTATATACTGTGCCAGCTCCCCATAACTCCATACTATATGTATATACAGTGCATACTGTGCCAGCCCCCCCATAACTCCATACTATATGTATATACAGTGCATACTGTGCCAGCCCCCCCATAACTCCATACTATATGTATATAATCTACCGTGCCTGCCCTCCATAACCTCATACTATATGTCGATACTGTGCATACTGTGCCAGACCCCCATAACTCCATACTATATGTATATATCATGCATACTGTGCCACTCTTCTCTCCCACACATTTTATATATCACATATTCCATAGATCATGCATACTGTGCCAGGCACCCTAATTCCCTATAATATATTGCATATACATAGATTGTGCATAAGGTGCCAACCCCTTTTACTCCTCTATTTGTATTCACCATTATTATGGATAGTGCTCCAGTCCCCTTAATCCAAAACTGTTTTTTTTTGCCTTCTTTTGGATCAACAGCAAAAAACAAATGTGAGGAAGGCTGAACTTGATGGACGCAAGTCTCTTTTCAGCTATGTAACTATGTAACTGTATTCAACAGCTTCTTCTCATCCTCCGCAATATCTGTCTACAAGATACTGCTCTCTCCTGGTGCTCCTCCTACCTCTCCCAGCGCTCTTTCAGTGTTTCTTTCTCTGGCTCTGCTTCTTCTCCCCAAATCCTCTCTGTTGGTGTCCCCCAAGGTTCAGTCCTTGGTCCTCTACTGTTCTCCATCTATCCTGCCTCCCTTGGTAAACTCATTAGCTCCTTTGGCTTCCAATATCATTTCTATGCAGATGACACGCAAATCTACCTGTCCTCTCCTGATCTCTCCCCGTCCCTCTTGACTAGTGTCTCTGACTGCCTCTCTGCTGTTTCTAACTGGATGGCTGCCCACTTCCTTAAACTAAATTTGAACAAAACTGAAATTCTGGTCTTTCCTCCCTCAAGTGTTGTTACTCCTGTGTCTGTCTCCTTCCAAGTCAACGGTGCTACCATCCGCTCCACCACGCAGGCTCGCTGCCTAGGTGTTCTCTTTGACTCCGACCTCTCCTTCAAGCCTCATGTTTAATCTATCTCCAAATCCTGTCATTTCCATCTCAAAAACATTGCGCGCATCCGCCCCTACTTAACGCCAGATGCGACTAAGGTGTTGGCCCATTCCACTGTCCTTTCTCGCCTTGACTACTGTAATCCGCTTCTCAGTGGTCTTACGTGCTCCCAACTAGCGCCGTTACAGTCCATAATTAATGCGGCGGCGGGGCTCATCTTCCTGTCTGCCCACACCTCCCATGCCTCACCCTTCTGTCAGTCCCTACATTGGCGTCCTATAAAATATAGAGCTCAATTTAAAATTCTGGTTCTTGCTTTCAAATCTCTACATAATGCTGCTCCCACCTATCTATCCTCCCTTATACACAAGTATGTCCCGTCTAGGCCCTTACGATCTGCTGAAGACTTAGGTCTATCTTCTGTCCGTACTCCCACCTCTGATGCTTGCCTTCAAGATTTCTCGAGGGCTGCACCGTTCCTGTGGAACTCACTTCCCTCCTCCGTTAGATGCTCACCCAGTCTCCACTCCTTCAAAAAATCGTTAAAAACCCACTTCTTCATAAAAGCGTATCAATTAAACTGTTAATAGCTCCTGACTGATTCCTCTTCTGCAACTGTCATTAGTCTAATACTATCCTTACCTTTTTGTGTCATTTTACCCCACTCCCTCTAGCATGTAAGCTCATTGAGCAGGGCCCTCAACCCCTCTGTTCCTGTGTGTCCAACTTGTTTGGTTACAACTACATGTCTGTTCGTCCACCCATTGTAAAGCGCTGCGGAATTTGACGGCGCTCTATAAATATCATAATAATAATATTCTCCATTATTCTGTATACTGTACTATCAGTGTGCTAATGCCCTTACTCCACTAACTGTATTCTCCATTATTCTGTATACTGCACTATGCCAACTCCCCTGCTCCATTAACTGTAATTCCTGTCCTGTATGCTCTGCTTGCCCCATAATTTTACGCATTTTATTCCCAAATGATATACATACTGTGCTGCTCTCCTTGAATTGCAAAGAATCCCAATTCCCCAGACCTTATTCCTGTCAGTGTACTAATTCCATACCTTTTGTCCTATTATCATATATACAGTGTTGCTGTCATCTTTTCATACATATTGGTTAGCTCCCGAAATTCACATTGTATCCGTGTTATCTTTTCATACATATTGCGCCCAGCCCTTAATTCTACACACGGTGGGGCTGATTTTATCAGAGTAAAACAGTTGCTATTCTGGGTGTAAAGTGTTAAATGTTGATAGACATGCTACTGGTATCCACTATAATTCTTGTATTAATTTGGTCATAACTGACACCTGTTTTTCCCCGATAAATGTTGCCTTGTATTCCCTATTCCTAAATCATATACATGTCCGCTTTCTAATTCTACACAACCCTTTTTATTCATGACTTAAAATTTGAAGTCCTGTGTTACTAGCCAAGGTTTAAAAGTTACTCGCCAGTGAATTTCCACTGTCAGTGCTATGTTTTCACTCAGATACGCAGATCTTGTGCAAATTGAGCTAATCCCTCTATTCCCTACTGACCCTCTAATAATGTAAATGAAAGAACCATGTTTTCAGATCTCATGTATTATGTCACACTGGACCTTTTTATATTGGTTTGTACAGCATATATTAATAACTTGGTGCCAGATGACCAAAGAATTCTACCCTACTCAAATTCTTCAAACGTTCTGTTGCATGTGCTCCTGCCATTTACCCTACAAATATATCCTCTTATGTAGGCGCTCTCCAAAAACGTTTCATACTGGCTGTAATCCCCTGGTCTGTGCTCCCTATAATTTGCATATCCTCTTTCTAAATAACGTATTAAACTAAATGAACCCCCTTCACCAATTGCATGGAATACTTGTCTAATTATATACAATTTACACTTTTTTTTTTTTTCTCAGTTGTATTTTAAGGCACCCTTATTTACAAATATTCTTCAGATACCATAGACCAGGGGTAGGCAACCTTTTAGCAGCACTGTGCCGAAATAAGATTGTGATGTCCCGTAGTGTGCTGGTCCTATTTTTTTTATTTTTTTTATTGATGTTGCCATATTCTGCTTGTGTTATTTATTCTGTAATTGCTTTGCATCATTATATTTGTGCATATATGAGCTATTATTTTGTATATGTTCACAAGATAATGGTGGTATCGTGTATGATACATATGAATGTGGGCTCTGGATGGGGGATGCTTGTGGAATTGGATGTGGATGGATATGTCACATTGTGTGTTTGGTAGTGTGTGGATGTAAAGGGCTGTTTGGGGCATTGCATGTGAGAGGCTATGTGTGGGGTTGTGTGCATGTATGTGGATTGTTAGTGGTGTTGAATCTGTGGGGATTGTGTGTGTTTGTGTGTGGGCTGTTGGTATTATTTGTATGAGGGGAAGGTTATTCTGCAGCTCTGTGTATATCTAGCAGTTTAGGTGGGTTCTAGTGGAGACCAGGCTGGCCAGGTAAATTAGCTCAAGGACAGGAGCTGCAAGAGCAGCTACAGTATGGATTCCCATTCACAAGTGCTGGGAGGAAGTGATTTGAGATCAGTTTCTCTACGTGCTGCAATGCATAAACTGAGGATTGTCCTTCACCACCTCTTCGTATTAGCAGATATCTGAAGTTTCACTGGGACTCTTGATAGGACAGAGCCTGTTTGGCTCTGGCAGGCTTGAGTGCCGTGCAAAGACACCTTGAGTGTCGTGCATGGCACACGTGCCATAGGTTGCCTACCCCTGCCATAGACCAATGGGTTTCAAACACTTGAAGTGGCACGCTTCAAAGAGAGCGAGAAATGGTTTATACCTTTTTATTACTAGATTACTTACTAGAGAGGTATGCACTTCTAGCTAAATTGACCTGCTAGTTTTAATTTAACTACCAGATGAGAATAACTTTTTTGTTTAACCCCTTAAGGACTAAACTTCTGGAATAAAAGGGAATCATGGCATCTCGCACATGTCATGTGTCCTTAAGGGGTTAACGTTTACATTTATTAAATTGGTTTTGCAAAGACCCCTGATGGTGACTGCTCAGCTTGTAGTGCACTGGCACCTGGGTGCACGGGAAGGTGATGTTTACTGCTATGAAGATGTCCTTTGTACCATCGTCATCCAATGGGTCCACTTGAGCTCTAACACAAAACATGAGTATTCCATAAAGATTTTATCTATTTTTCATTTATTTTTTGGGGGAAGGGGATTAGTGGAGCTTTAAAAATAGGCACTTAAAGCAAAGTGTTTGCTTTGCAAGATTTTGGGGATATTATGTCTATCCCCTATATATAAAATAAATATATGTATGTCTATATGTATTTGGGAGGTGTTAATTTTTTTATTTTTTTTTGATGATTTTCAATGTTTTATCAGTGGTATAATGTTCAGAGAAGTAACACTGCTCTTTAAAAATCGTTACTCATTAGTGTGCCACAACATGGATTGAATGATCTTCTTTGTCTGTGACTGAGGATAAATAATATTTGTTTTACATATTCGAGAGTTCTGTTTGCATTGATTCCATGAATGAAAGAAGTGAAAAGTAAAATGGATGACTTGGCACCATTTCCAGATCTAGTTTTCCAGCTCTATTTTGGTCTAAAATGTACAATTTTTATTCATAAATATGCCACAGTTCCTAATAAAGTGAATAACCCTGGCAGTCATTAGAGATATATAATCACTATATGTGTACTGGAAAGGCATAATCTTTTGCATGTTATGGGTTGTGCTGCCCTTAGATGCTTTGCTTCAGGCATTAGTGACTGAGGACACCCAGTAATGCAGGCTGTCTGTTTGTGAATAGGATTAGCTTCTGCCGGTTACACAATACAGAATCCTTGCATAATGCTGTCTCTCTAGCCCTGCTTCTGAAAACTGGAAGTACTGTGCGATGGTTCTCTGTAAACCCGAAAGTAACTCTGTACTGCTCTGTGCATGTAGGGTGCCTGTGAAATAACAATGTATCTCTTTAATAATTATTCAGGATTATTTTAACATTTCCTTAAACAAAAAGTGTGCTTTTACTTTCATTTAAAACCACATTTACATGGACTTTTTAAAAATGAAAATAAAACCTTGATAAAAGATACAGGAAATAAATCATCTTCAGATGTTCACACCTCTAGGTGTTGCTCTAAAAGTAGAGCTGTTCTGTTATTGAATGGCAAATACTTTTTCCTTGTAAAATAATAAAACCACAGGAGCGCGAACATGTTTCAATGCCATTATTCCCAGATCCTGGACATGGGCTTAAGATGTATTCCTCTTGTCAAGTTCATTGGGACGCCAGGCGTAGCCATGAAACTTTGACGTATGTCAGGTAATGTTGAATGTAAGACTTGCTTTTTGTGTGATTTTAGACTTTTATACTCCCTGAAAATTAGATCTGTTGCTGATTGGTTGAAAGTTAAAATTCAGTTTTTTGTATTTTATGATTCATACAACACTCCTGTCCCTTTAAGCGCTTGTTGAAGTGCTTTAGATACCCCATGTAGGCTATTTTTTATGTAAGAGCCAATCTCAGGAGAAATCAGCACTTTAATAAATACATTTATTAAAGGACCACTATAGTGCCAGGAAAACATACTCGTTTTCCTGGCACTATAGTGCCCTGAGGGTGCCCCCACCCTCAGGGTCCCCCTCCCGCCGTGCTCTGGGGAGAGGAAGGGGTTAAACACTAACCTTTCTCCAGCGCCGGGCGGGGAGCTTTCCTCCTCCTCCTCTCCTTCTTCCTAGCGACGTCGTCTGAATGCGCAGGAGCTGCGCGCGCATTCAGTCAGTCTCATAGGAAAGCATTCATAATGCTTTCCTATGGACGCTGGCTTTTTCACAGTGAGAAGCACGCAAGCGGCTGTCAATGAGACAGCCACTAGAGGCTTTAGAGGCTGGATTAACCCTCAGTGTAAACATAGCAGTATATATAATTAACCCTAGCTGGACCAGGCACCCAGACCACTTCATTAAGCTGAAGTGGTCTGGGTGCCTATAGTGGTGCTTTAATCTCTCCTAGCGTTCAAACAGATAGCAAAGAGGTAACACTTGTTCTGAGTGTATGAGGAGCACCTGATTGAACACAAGTCATTAGTATTGATGACTTATCAGGAGGCAGATTGGGGAAGCAGTAAGGGCTCTCCTGGCTCTTTAAAAAAGGTTAGTTTAACTGATTTTTTTTGATATATATATATATATATAAATATCCTGAACATTGGAAGCTTACAAACATGTGTTACTAATATTCTAGTGCCCTCTCACCTGTCTAGGTGTCCGAGCTCCCTACCTGCGTGAGAGTTTGAAAAGTTAGTATTACTTGCTCTTCTCTCTGCCAGTCCCACCTCACTGTTGATGATCTCAGCCAATCAAAAGCTTCCCCATAGGGAACATTGGGAGGCTAGTGCACATATGAAGTAAACTGCTGTGCTGCGTCAATCGAATGCTGCTTTAGGAGCGTCATTTGATCTATAACTGAGTTCTACTTGGTTATAGCAAGTGACTCTCTAGTGGCTGTTAGCCACTAGAGGCATGTTAAATCTACAATGTAAATATTACCATTCTGAAAGAATGTCAATATTTTACATTCCATGCTTGAACAGACTGGGCACAGCACCAAGACTACATTGGGATGAAGTGGTCTAGGTACCTCTAGTGTCCCTTTAGGTTCTAGACTTTTTATAAAGGTACACTCAAATAGCATCCTGATCATATATTATATGTCTTACTGTTTATGACCAATGTTTTCTTTGTACAGCTGTGAAAAATGAGAACACACTGAAAATGCGATGGATTGCAAGTGCGGCCACAGCTTCCACACAGCCTGCAGTCCATCCAGATAAGAGGTAGCTAACCATATATACTTCCATACTGTCAGAACCCAGACTGCAGAGACACATTTTAATCAATGACAATGTTAATTTCTCATATGCTCATACTGTAGGTACTCGAATATCAGTACTGTAAGACTATGGAGTGCTTGGATAACACTGATAACCAATCTAAAAAGCCATTAGACAGCGAAATATATCCATACTCACACTAGCACCAATATTGATACAAACATTAGATCAAAGTCACCTCCGTAATAATTGCACAGCTCAAAACCTATTTGCAAGTGTTTTTTTGTGTTTTTATGTTTTTTGTTTTCTTGTTTTTTTTTGTTTTGTTTTTTTTTCACTTTATGTAATATGGAAGGTTGACAAGGCATAGCCAGGCAAATTATGTAAATCTCCTGCTATTCATGATACTTTGCATGTCCTCATTGCAAGGATGCTTGCAGTCCTGACAATATGAGAAGATGTCTAAGCATGCACTTTAGGTTTTTCACGTTGGTATCTCCACAAAAACTCATCTAATCATGCACAATTCTAAGATTCAACATAGAAGTGTATTGTAGCATTGTTCATACCTTTTCTCTTTTTTTCATTCTCCCCTTGAGGAAACCAAAGACTGGGATCCTTATGTTAAACATGGGAGGTCCTGAAACAACAGATGATGTTCACAATTTCCTACAGCGCCTATTTTTGGACAAAGACCTCATGACTCTTCCAGCACAAAGGTAAGGATGCTTCACTAATATGGCTTTCCACCAACGTGGTTTTAATTATTTTAACATACAGCCATTTTTGTTCTCTGACCCAAATGTTTAATACACCCCTTGTCACTTAATATCCAAAGTAAACCGAAATGGAAGATTTATGCTTAATGTGCGAATGTTCAATGTAGTAGTAAGGCCCATATGTGGAGGGCAGCATTAATTATAAAATGTTGCAAATGCATACAGTTTAATAATAAAAAATTGTTGATGTTGGCTAGATTTCATGATTCAATATAAGTTTAACTGAACAGCCATCATTCCTCTAATGCTTTTTGATTACCGGAGATACACGTACCGTATCATTGTATCCAGTTTTAGATACACATGTGAAGTTTATTTCCCATAATGTTTGGCTAACCTTTTAAGATAGATTATTGGAAAAGTGTTGACTTTTATTCAACTATATTGGTCCATAACTTACATTTACCCTTCAGTGAATAGTGCTCTTTATTTTGTGCTTTTTAATAGAATAACTGCAACATTACCCTTTCTTTCTTTCTTTTTTTTTTTTTTTTTTAATATATATTTTCAGCAAACTTGGGCCTTTCATTGCCAAACGACGAACCCCCAAAATCCAAGAACAATATAACAAGATAGGTGGGGGATCCCCCATTAAAAAGTGGACAGCCCAGCAAGGGGAAGGAATGGTAAAACTGTTGGATGAACTATCTCCTGCAACAGGTATTGCTGCATGCCTGTTTCTATAATGTGTCCCTAGGAAATTGTTGTGTAGCCTTTAGGTTAAATAGATCCTATAGTGCCCCCCTCCCGCAGGCTGAAGGGGTTAAAACCCCTACAGCCACTTACCTGAATCCAACGCCAGTGTCCCCTGGCGCGGGGTCAGGCTCCGCCCATGCTCTTCCTCAATGCTTTAATATGGGGAAAATCTGACGCTGGAGGTCTGTGAGGACGTACAACATCAGATAATGGACCAAAAGTCAGTTTGGATTCCGGAAGCGCCCCCAGTAGCTGTCTGGTAGACAGCCACAGAGGGCCGACTTAGAGCTGCAATGTAAACACTGCAGTTCTCTGGAACGGCAATGTTTTACATTGCAGCACTAAGTGCAATAGGGACACAGCACCCAGACCACTTCAATTAGCTGAATTGGTCTGGGTGCCAACAGTGTCCCTTTAACATATCATTCCTTGTCAATGACATAAGATGGAAATGCCTTGCCTTGTTTGAGGGCCAAATTTAGGTGTTTGTTACACTATGAGCCCAGACATCTATGGTTGTTCTGAGAACAGGTATCTGTTTGCTGTATAAATATCCCCAAGCTCTATTAGCATTATGATGCCACACAAATTTGCATATTTTGTTACAGACTCTAGAAGTGGCACATATGTAAAGAATACATTTGTGGCAATATCTTTATTATGGAGAGAGTTAAACCTATTTGCTTTTCCGGAATCCATGCAATAATCTACCCTCTGGAATGAGGAAATTGTCTCTTTGATAGACTTTATTTACAGAAGGGATTTTTTGTGTCTCTTTTTTTTTTTTTTTTTCTACATTCAAAGTTAAAATGATCATCTACTTTAATTACTGTCAAATGTATGTTATTCCTTAACAGTATCATTTTAAAGGTATTAAAACCTCTTGTTGCAGGCCCCAGCTTTGTTTATGTATGTATGTATATTAATTTATCTTGCACATACATGTGTCATTTAAATGTTAACTGGAGCATATACACCACTTTAAAGCTTGCTCAGATCTTTAAAGCTGCAGTACTAGATAATCTGGGTTGGGTTTTGGAGACTGGCTAACGTGCAGTGAAAGGGAGGGATGTTTCACCAGATACTGTAAGGGGAAGATAGTGTCTCCTTTTTAAAGGAAAAGTCCCACCTAAATAACTAAATTGGAAAAAAACTATCTATAAATTCTCTAACTTGGACTATGTCTCCTGTGTTTGTGTTGTGTCTTATGACATGGCAGCAGATTTCCTCTCAGGGCCCATATATTTTAGAAAAAATGCCGCTGTTTTTCTCCCTCTTCTGAGGAGTGGTTAGTCCTACCTGGAATGAGTTGTAATCTTGATTCCCCTTCCTGTCGACTGGCGTGGCAGTGGGCCAAATTGCTGGTGAAATTGAGCGCAAGCAGTAGATGCCTCAGCTAACAAATAATGAATTTACTGATTCCGTGTGCTCCTCTTTAGTTGAATAATGCACCGTGTTCTAATGAAATGTTCTCTGCTAGACAGACCTGAGAGCGATTTGGGGAGGAATGTCTGTGCCCTACAAATGCTCACATTAATATAAGGGAGATCCCACAAACCAATGCTAGGACTTCTGGGGTCTGATACTTTACACTGCCCTCTCATTAATTAATAAAACTTGTGTTGGTGACGTGTTCACTTTTTAATAAAAGTAATATTACTATAACTCTCCCTACCCTTAAATAGATTTTGTGGCTTGTTTTCCATATTAGAGCAGTCTTCTCGTCTGATTTTTCTTAATGTATTCTATTTACGTGATGTACTGTGACCATGCATAGGAGAGGATTCATGGCCAGGGATTGTAACACAATGTGAATTGTATGTGTGCAATATGACCTGTGTAATACATTTAGTTTTATTGTTTAATAAATTATTTTATTCTATATATTGTTATATACAATTATTTGTGTAGACCTAATTTGCTAGTTTTGGTAGGGTTATTGTGTAGAACTTGATATCTTCCAGTTAAATAAATATTTGAAGAGAGCCTAGAAACAGGATATTTGCGTAGGCAAATCAACCAGATCTCTTTGTATCCTAAACTGATTTTGCACAGGAAACACTTCATATTACTTTAGCACCTTGGCAGGTTGTACAGGAAATGGTATCCTTGTATGAGCTGAATATGCCATTTCTTTGTTAAGAGTACAATGCATATTTCATTGTTCTATTATGCATAATAACAAGTAGACAAAAACTAGACTTGTGCACAAACCCTGTTTAGCTGTACTGAAAACATAAATTGCCTGTTATTCTCTGGACAAACAAATTGATTCATAAATCGCGGTCAAAACAGTTTGTTCAGGTATTTGATTAATTCGGCACAGCTAGAAAAAACTGTAGAAAGGATCCATTGACCTTGATAATGAGGTTCATGAGAGATCCAGGACAGCAAAGGCCTAGTCTAGAATTGAGTGGTCTGACTGGCATTTGTACCCATATCTGTGTACACATTCAGTTCATTCTTTACTATCTGGGGTCTTTTTTATTACATATATTTTTTTTTCTTTCATTACGGAAGTTTCTTGTTTTCCGATTAAATGCTTTTGTGAAAGAGAAAAATGTGTCACAAAAAAACAAGTATTGTATGATCCTCTTCTGTGCCCTGGTTTCTGGATAGACGTGCATGCTATGCTGGAGTACCTTTTTGCCAGGAAAATGCTCTGCACCTGCCATAATTAGTCTGCATATATGTAAGCATCAGTCTGGGCATTCCGTTTTGCTGCTCTGTATTGGAAATGTTATATTGTGTGATGTATTTCCAAACACAGCTACTGGGTGCAGGGTAAGAAAGGGCTGTGGTGTCATGCTAATACAAATTACATTCATTTCAAAAATACCCCACCAACACATACTGAACACCACGCTCCACTTTCTTTTTTTTTTTTTTGGGGGGGGGGGGGATTTTTGTTTGTTTTTTGTTTTCTTCTTCTTTAGAGCTGTTTAATTGTAATGAGAAGTATTTGCCAAATTACAGTCAGAGCTGGCATGTTATGTGCATGCATCATATATAAAGGCACAGGAAGAGCACAGACTTGGAAGGAGGCTCGTCATGATGCAGATATATTTATCTGATTGTTGTATAACTTTACGCTTTTCCTAATCTATAATTTCTTTTATTTCCACAGGACCTCATAAATACTACATTGGTTTCAGGTATGTGGATCCACTGACTGAAGCTGCTATTGAACAAATGGAACAAGATGGAGTAGAACGCGCTATCGCTTTCACGCAATATCCTCAGTACAGCTGTTCAACTACAGGTCGGTTTACCTTAGAATCTTTACATTTTCTACCATAGAGTGCACCACTTTTTTTTTTTTTTTCTGTGCAAAAATTAGTTTAAGAAGAATTTAATTATTTTCTGAGAATCCACATCACAAAAGCCACATCCCATGCACAGCAAAAAGTGAAGTGGAGATCGATACTGCATACATATCAAGGGGTGTAGAGTATGCAATTTATTACATGCAAAAAATGTTCATGCTATTAAATCCCAAATTCCCCTCATATTAGTATAGAACCTGATTGCTTTAAACATATATTGTTGGTGCAGATGCAATGGAGACTTGCTGATCTACAAGATCCAGTTCCACACAATCTACTACAGGCAAAAAACCCTCCAAGTTTACATATAAAAAAATATAAAAATTTCTAATCTATGGCACTTAAAGTATAGAAACGTGTGGGACAGGGTGGGGAGCATAAAAGAGGGTTTACATGAGCCACCTTTCTAACCAACATGGGGAAAAATGTTAGAAGCCTTAACATAGTTTGTCAGTATGAGGTGTGAGGTTTTTGTTAATTTTTTATTTCCTTCTTATTAATAAAATGCATTTCTGTGAGAAGCATCTGATTTGGGTCTGAGTAGCATTTCTATAAGAAACATTGAATTAGACTGAGGAAAATGTTAAATATAAATATATTTCTTTTTAAGAGTTTTCCTTTACTTGTACAGTTTATTTAAATTCTTTAATAGCATGATGGACAGCACAGACAATATATAGCTTCTTGCTTTAGGGGTAGCCCTTAGTCAAAGGCTAGTCATGTTATTAATGTTGTCTTGAGGTTTATGAATTTTGATGGATTAAATAGGCAGTTGTGTTTTAACCTTGTCAGTGAATGTCATTTAACCTAGGACTGTTGTGCTTCCAAAGTTCATAATTCGGCCCCATAAGTAAATGTGAAGTCTTTCTCCCCCACCCCCCCCTGTTATCCTTTTGGAAAATTGCTAAAATATTTTTTGTTTTTTCTTCTTTCACAGGAAGCAGCCTAAATGCAATATACCGGTATTACAATTCAAAAGGTGCAAAGCCAAACATGAGATGGAGCATTATTGACCGATGGCCGACACACCCTCTGCTTATCCAGGTGGCCTCATCTTCTCATTCATTGTACACCCTTACTCTCTGTCCGATAAATATTTAGTTACTCTTACCTGAAGATCACTTCCATCACAATGTAATCTGTTATTAGATGGGGACTGTTGCTGGGAGTTGTGGCATAGACGATGAATGGCTGCATGGACGCCATATTGAACCTTTCCTTACATCCTTCCAGAACAAAATTAGATATTTGGATTTGATAGCAATTTGGCTAATATATTGTGCAGATCTGCTTTTATTTTGTAGTACAATAATGTAACTTTTTTTTTTTTTTTAAAACCCTTTAATGAAAAATGCACTTTAAAAGCTTTCCCTTCTGTTACAATGCTGTGATTTGTCTCCTTGAATAGACCTATTGTGGACAATTATTAAGTGTTCCTTATCTTTGTAGTGTTTTGCAGATCACATTACCAAGGAACTGAGCATGTTTCCTGCTGACAAACGAGGAGATGTTGTAATTCTGTTCTCTGCTCACTCGTTGCCCATGGCAGTAAGCATTTTATTCTTTCTATTGCCGACTTAATTTGCATGTTTTTAGTGAACATAACAGATGATGATGGTCAAGGTGAAGTTTTCATATAATGTGAAAGTCCAGTCTGCTGGTTCCTAAGCAGAGAGTAGCTGCATTGGGCTTACCAGCTTGCTACAGTTTCATGTTTGACAGCCTATCACAAAACTGTGAATGTTCTTGTGCATTTTGTGTCCACACACTACGACCACAATAGAATATGTGGAACATAGGCTGAAAAATGTAGTTCAGTTTGGGAAGCAGGAGATGTGTGCATTTGGTATGAGAAAGCTGGTGTAAGGGAAAAGAAGTGACTCTCTATTAAAGGGTTACTCCAACCCTTTAAAAAAAAAAAAAAAATTGTTGTTGTTTAAAAGGCCCTATAGGGCATTCGTATTGGCTGCCTCCTTAGAAGCTATAAAATGTATTTTTGCTTACCCTACATCCAGCACCAGGCGAAGCTCCTGGCACTGATCTTCCAGTCACTGTCCTGACATCCCTGCATGTGGGCAGTCCACTCATAGGCTTCTCATGGAAACTGGTGCTTGGATCGTTTCGTTAGCTCAAAGTACATGCTCGCAATCCGAGCCAGAGATGGGATGGGGGGGTGTGAGGAATATTTTAAAAAATACACCACCACTTACCACTTTTGTCCAGCATGAAAATTTACCATTAATGACAACTCGTTGTACTCTATCCTTAAGCCAATGTTCTACCCAAGATCAATAATTTTCATCTAGACCAATTTCTTTTAGTTTGAACACTAACCTATTGTGAAGAACCGTATCAAATGCCTTGGCAGAATCCAAGTAGATCACATCCACTGCAACACCCTGATCTATACTTCCACTTGCAATTAAGTTAGTTTGACATGACCTATGTTTCATAAAACCTTGCTGAGTTTTACTAATATTGCTGTTTTTTTTTATATATATATGTATATATGTATATATATTTTTTATTTATATATATATATGTGTGTGTGTGTGTGTGTATGTGTGTATATATATATATATATATATATATATATATATATATTCATTTATGTGACTAAAATCTCTCAAGCACTTCAAAGTTAAGTGCAGAAATGTGTAGTACCATACTGCTACCACTTGGGTGAGCAGGATGTCACACTACTAAAACAATGATTCAGTCCCCTATGGTGAATCGTAATAGCTACCAACCAAGATAAATATCTGTTACATAAAGTGCTGCTCAATCTTGGAATGTAAAATCTAATTGAAATATCCTCAAAATAATGGCTGAAAAAATTTGTTTAAGGACTAAAACTATATTAATGGTAGACCAACCAGATTAAATCTATTTCAAAGTAGTTCACCTTGATATAAAGTCTCAAAGTATACCTACCTCTCCCAAAATCAGCTATTTTATAAGACAATAGAGCACAACTAGGAGGGAAAAACTGTATAAGTGCAAAGTTGGCATGATTTAAAGATCTTAAAAGAGATGTAGTTTTGCTTTTCCTCTATTTTCTAAACGAGCAGCTAAACTATTTAGCTCTAGTGTATTAATTTTTTATTTTTTTGGGGGGAGGGGGAGTTAATGCAAAAGTAAAACCTATCTGTGTTTACATTATATAGACAATCTTAAATACTGCCATCTTGTGGTAATACCTTGGCACTGTTGGCCACCAGTAGAGCTTTTTTGAAAGTTATTAAAATATGCAAGTGACCGTTCCACTTTGAGCCTTTACTGCAAATATCTCTCCACTCTACCCATGATTGAAACCGGGATGAAATGCAGTGACTGTATGTTTACTTAACACTTTTACTAATATCCAGTTGAAAGATCTATTACCATACGAATTCTGTTTTGGTTCGGCATTTCTTGACTCTATCCCTTTTACATAGAGGGAGTTTTCTATTTTGCACCTTTTTTTTGGAAGGACTTTACTGGTTTGGTTCCTCTAATACAGGGATTATTGTAGAAGACCAAGTAACCGAGAACTGTGTGTTTAGCTTTAAATCTCGCTCTTTCCAGGTTGTCAATCGAGGGGACCCATACCCACAAGAAGTTGGTGCTACTGTACACAAAGTTATGGAGAAATTGGGCTTTTCAAACACCTACAGATTAGTGTGGCAGTCCAAGGTATGTCTTACGTGATCTATAGTTCTATAGTTGGAATATCCCATATCTCAGTGACCTGATGTGACCCCATATTAAATAGTGTTTTTGTTTTTTTTTTATTTTGGCTACTTTTGAGAGACACAAATGTAATTTATTTTTGTCTATAAAAACAGCTAGCATTTCTGACTTGTGCATCTCAATACGTTTTCTCAGATTTGTTCCCTTGTTGATTTCAAACGAAGCTATGCTCAGCTTGAAGATGTATTGCTGAATTGCCAAAGCGTTTCCATGATCTGGCCAAGGCAAGAGAAAACTCTGACTAACGCATCTCTGCCTTTTTCTCCGCAATGGGAAGAATACTTTTCCATAAAAGGAAATGGTCATGTTTAATGTTAATAAATAATTAAATAAGATTTTTTTTATTTTTATATTTTTTTTTATTATTATAGCCTCTGTGGGGCCATCATCTTTGAAGCATTGGGAACATCTCAAAAATTCAGGGAGCATCTCCAAAATGCAATCTTGGATGGTTTCAAACCTTCAAATTCTTCTTAGCACATATAGGAAGCTTCCAACCAAAGACAGCTAAATATGACTGAATGTCATTCTAAAAAAGTAGTCATTTCAAAATAATGCACACCAAGACTGTATTACATTATAATCTTCTATCTTATTTTACTGAACATTTCATGAATAATTCTGACTTTAAATTGTTTTCAAAATAAAAACTAAAATATTTAAAAACTAGGGGTTTTCTGTTTTAGATTTTAAAACCTTGGCTAGTATAATTTGTATATAATTGTTTACAGGTAGGACCAATGGCCTGGCTTGGACCCCAAACTAGTGAAGCAATTGAAGGCCTCTGCAAGAGAGGAAAGAAGAACATTTTGTTGGTCCCCATTGCATTCACCAGTGATCATATCGAAACACTCTACGAGTTGGATATTGAGTACGCACAGGTTTTGGCAAATGAGGTAAAGTCACATTTGTGTAGACACGGATGATGTTGTATCATCGTTCAGTTATATGTAAAGGGTGCCGGTGTCACACTAAAATGTCATGGATGGCAGTGCGTAATAGGAATTGTTACGAGCAATTTCACCTAGAAACCATTAGACCATCTACAAATGACACATCATTGGTATTCGATTAGTCCTAAACTAATCTGTGCACAACATTTACATTAAACTGGATTTCCATACCAAGATCTGCGGGATCCTTGATGTTCCACCGACATTACACTATACCCTCATAAACCACAACATTATAACCACTGACCAGTAAAGTGAATAACATTGATTATATCATTACGATGGCACCTGTCAAGGGTGCTTGAATTTCATATGTTGAAGCAGGAAAAATGGGCAAGATAAAGGATCTAAGTGACTTTGACAAGTGCCAAATAGTGATGGCTAGACGACAGTCAGAGCATCTCCAAAACTGCAAGTCTTGTGGGGTGTTCCCGGTATGCTGTGCTTAGTTCTTGGCAAAAGTGGTGTAAGGAAGGCCAACCGGTGAACCAATATTAGTCATGGGTGCCCAAGGATCATTGAACGTGGGGAGCGAAGGCTAACCTGCTGGTGTCAGAACACAGTGCATTGCAGATTTTTGCGTGTGGGGCTGTGTAGCCACAGACTGGTCAGTGTCCATGATGACCCTTTTCCACTGCCTTCAGTAGAGACTTGAGCATCAGAACAGGACCATGGAGCAATGGAAGAAGGTTCCCTTGTCTGATGAATCACGTTTTATTTACATCCTGTGGATGGCCAGGTGCATGTGTCATTTACCTATGAAAGAGATGGCAGCAGGATGCACTATGTGAAGGTGGCAGGCTGGTGGAGGCAGTGTTATGCTCAGGACAATGTTCTGCTGGGAAGCCTTGGGTCCCAGCATCCATGTGGATGTCACTTTGTCATGAACCAATTATCAAGCGATTGTTGCAGATCACATACAGCTCTTGGTGGCAATGGTGTTCCCTGATACCACCGGCCTTTTTCAGCAAGATAATGCACCCTGCTACACTGTAAAAAATATTCAGGAATGGTTTAAGGAACATGACAAAGCATTTAAGATGTCTTGTCCTCTAAATTCCCCATATCTCAATCCAATTGAGCATCTGTGGGATGTGCTGGGACAAATGGCTGGGGGGGGTGATGGCCTACCTTGATTTATTACCTGGTGGTCCGATGGTCCACAGAGCTGCAGACCATGTAATCTCGCGAGACTATCAGATCGTTGCCGTGGTAACCCGCGGCAATGCTCTGATTGGCCAGTTTTCGCGAGACACATGGTCCGCAGCTCTGCTCACTGCGGAGCTGCAGACGTGTGTCTGCAATGGTGGCCGGGCAGCCAGGAGGGGCCTCGTACCCGGCAGCATACCGGGCAAGCCGCTGAGCCCCCTCCTGGTGTCGGGTCCTCAGTCACTGAGTTATGGAGTCACTGACTGAGGACCCGACACAGTCTGCCCACAGGTGGTTTAGGCGGCCGCCTAATTACAGAGCCACCTCTGTTTGGGAGTATATGTGTGTGTTTGTAGAGATATGTTCACTCATGGGGAAAAATGGTCGTGGTTTTACATATCTGGACATAACACCCACCTGTTCCTAAGCAGGTCTTAAAATTGGGTAAATACAACCTCAGATGAGCAACAGCATCTGATATATTACACTTTGCCATGATTTATTTACAAAAAGGAAGCCAAAATGGAGAAGCCATGTGAAAATCTAAGTATACCTTCTGATTCAATAGCTTGTGGAACCACCTTTATTAGCAATAACTTGAGGTAAGTTTTCTGTATGACTTTTGTCCCACTCTTGTTTACAACTTTGCTCTAGTTCATTGCAGTATGCTGGCATTAGTTTATACACAGCTCTCTTAAGGTCCTGCCACAGCATTTCATTTTTTAATTTTTATTTTAAGTGTTTTCACTCTTTATTGACCGTTTTACAAAAGGAACAGTACAACAACATGCACGTGCAGATACAGGGCATACAACTGGAGTAGATTTATCAAGGAAACTTAGCTTCAATGTTAGAACATATTGTGCAGGACAGTGTGTCTAGGGCTGCGTAAACAGTTATTTAAAGGAGCGCTATAGGTTGAGAAATACAAAAGCTCTTTCCTGACCCTATAGAGTTAAAAACACCATTTAGGTGACTGCCCCTTGCCTCCATTAAAACATACCTTTTTATTCCAGCTCCGCGTCGGTGCACTGGTACCGCTCTGATCCACCTCCTTGGCTGAGCTCATCAGACTTGACAATCTCTGCCAATCCAATTGTTTCCTATAGGAAAGCATTAGGAGGCTAATGTGCATGTGCAGCAAAACGCTGTGTTGCGTCAATCAGCATCTCCTCATAGGGATGCATTGACTAAGTGCATATCTCTGGGGAAAGCTTAGTGCCTCCATGCAGAGCGTGGATACGCTAAACATCAGTGCAACATCACATTGTGCAGCACTGACCCAGGAAGCACCTCTAGTGGCCATCTGAGTGACTGCCACTGGAAGTCTCCCTAGGCAGTAATGTAAACCCTGCCTTTTTCCTGAAAAGGCAGTGTTCACATGTAAATGCCTGCAGGGTAATAATATACACCAGAACAAGTTGTAGTTGTTCTGGTGACTATAGTGTCTTTTTACCTCCTACATGACAAATGAGGAGTGAGACTGCAGGGCCATGAACTGTACACCAAAACTGCTTCTCTAAGCTAAAGCTCATTTTGTTGCCTTTAGTGTACCTTTTTTAAATCCTCTGAAACAATCCTTTAATTTTTTTTGAGTGTGAAAAACTTGCATTGTTATAACTTTTTGTATAATAATCTGTCCTTTTTTGCAGGTGCTTTAGAACAATTGAGAGTAAAGCATTTTTTTCCCTTTTCTTCATTGTTTTATTTTTAGTGTGGCGTTGAAAACATCAGAAGAGCTGAATCCCTTAATGGAAATCCATTGTTCTCTAAGGTATCAGTATTGTTATACTTGCTTTAATGCTATTGACTGTATCCCAGTGATTATCGGTTCTCACTTCTAACCACTACAACAATGTGAAAATCTATTCTTCTTAAGTGGGAAGCAGTCTAGCCAAGAATAAACAATACAAGGCTTTGCATGGATGTCTGTTACACCTTAAAGCATTAGACATCACAAGCTGCACTTTAACTCTTTCAGCAAAAATGGAATGAGCAAAAGACCACTTCTCGAACGATCAAGCCACATATTATTTTGTCTTCTAGGCCTATAATGGAGAAATAAATAGTGTTTAACAGTTTTTTTTTTTTGTTTGTTTGTTTGTGTTTATCAACAAAATTATATTCTATAATAAAAATAGTTTTATGTGCAAATTTATATAACACACACGATTTTTGATTTTATACAGTAAAGGAGAAGATTTAAAAAAAAAAAAAATGAGAAGTGGTCCTCCAAAATGTATGAATTGTACCAATAAAGGTATAGAATGAAATACTTGTCTAATTAAATATTGCCATGAAAAGTCAAATAGTTAGTACAGAGAAAGATTCCCCGGTTGGAACCCGCTTTTAACATTTAAAGGTAATTTTCTGCATGGTGCCAAATGTGGTTTTGCAAACAAATTATGCAAAACACTGTTCCACCTTGGGTCCTTCCACTTTGTTTTCATAACATAACATAACACGAACAAATTGTGAACTATCTAAAGGAAAAATGCACACATGCATATCCCATAGTGCTCTGCTGTTGGAGTTTATGGGACAAATAAAGTTCTCATAACCTTTTTGTGGCAATGTTTCACAAAACAGACTAATAAGATACATATAGCATCTAGTATTACCTGGAGGGCCTCTTTAATGTTTCAAGTGTTCTAGGAGGTGCTTTAACACTGAAAGGAAAATAAACTAATAGTTAAAGGACCACTATAGTGCCAGGAAAACATACTCGTTTTCCTGGCACTATAGTGCCCTCAGGGTCCGCCTCCCGTCCGGCTCTGAAAACTTACCTTTTTCCAGCGCTGGGCGGGGAGCTCTTCTCCTCCCCGTTGGCTGAATGCGCACGCGCGGCAAGAGCTGCGTGCTCATTCAGCCGGTCACCTAGGAAAGCATTCATAATGCTTTCCTATGGACGCTTGTGTGCTCTCACTGTGAAAATCACAGTGAGAAGCACGCAAGCGCCTCTAGCGGCTGTCAATGAGACAGCAGCTAGAGGAAATAGGGGAAGGCTTAACCCATTCATAAACATAGCAGTTTCTCTGAAACTGCTATGTTTATGAAAAAATGGGTTAACCCTAGCTGGACCTGGCACCCAGACCACTTCATTAAGCTGAAGTGGTCTGGGTGCCTAGAGTGGTCCTTTAATGGAAAGGGTTTTTGAGGCTTTCATTTGCTTGTTTTGAGATTTGATATTTATTTATTTTTAACTTAAAACCATGGGGTTTATACACAAATGAGATTCAGGGAGAATTGATCAGGCAAGTGCAATGCTTAATGTAGAAAAATAAATTCACTCACTTTTTTTGTTCCTGCTCAGATATTGTGCTTTAAACCTTACCATTTTGTTACCAGTTATCCACAATGCTGGGTTCAAAGAATAGATTCCAATATTTTGAGATTTGTATGCCTAGTGCTTGTAAGCTACCGGTACTTTTCTTTTTCTTTTTAAACTTTTTACTTTTTTGTTTGTTTTATTCAGGCCCTCGCAGATATAGTTCTTACACATATCAAATCCAACGAGATCTGCTCTAAACAGTTAACTCTACGCTGTCCTATGTGTGTTAATCCTGTTTGCGGAGAAGCTAAATCTTTCTTCATCAATCAACCGCTTTAAGCTAACCAGAAAGAACACAGTCCACTCTGATGAACGAAGCCAGAAGCCTTGTATTAATTTGTTTTGTTTATTTTTCTTGTATAGGCATAAATATATGTCTTTTTTCAGGGGGTACAAATAATACTTAAAAGTGAATCAATCTTTCATGGCTATTTTATTACTGTTCTACAGTGATTTGAATGATGCAGAGACTTTAAGGCAATGATCTCTTTACTCCTCGTTAAATTATTTTTAATTGCAGAAAAATAAAACACAACAGCTACAATATTAGACTTTAAAACCACGAACAATGCAATATATAAACTTTTTTTTTTTTTTTGCATTGAGGAAAAAGTATGCATAATTTTGTATATTTATAAAAAAAATCTTTATGTCCCCTTTAACCCCTTAAGGACACATGACATGTTTGACATGTCATGCTTCCCTTTTATTCCAGAAGTTTGGTCCTTAAGGGGTTAAAAGGGAATTATTAGTGCTTTGAGATATGGAATGAAAGGGTCAGTAGTGAAAGCTTATTGAAGAATGAATAAGAAACTAAAATTTGCCTCTCAGCCCACACAAAAATATGTACCACTGAGCAAGTACCTTCAAGAGAAACCAAAACTTGGTCCATTTCTCATTTAATAAAAACACTTGTGCATATAAAGCTTAGTCAAGGGGGTATAAACACAAACTATACAGGGCAGCTCACTAAGAATGAGTGTCAGGCCTTAAAGAGAATAGGCAGGGCTTTTACAATTTAAAGTAATTTGCTACTAGCCAGGCCTTAAAAGTTACTTGCCACTGCCAGCTATAGTATACGTTCTAGGGGTGAATGTCCACTTGACAGTGCTACATTTTTACTTGCTGATTGCTCGGTCCCTGCAGCCGCTCCCCAACCTGAGCCTCAGTGCCCTGTTGTGGTCTTTCATAGCACATTTGTATTGTGGTTTATGCTCTGGTTACTGACTTTGGCTAGTTTTCTGTGATCCTTGACCTCTGCTTGTACTGACTACGCTCTCTTTTACATAGCCCAGCCATTCTAAGGACCAGTATTGCAATTCTGTCTGCGTGTTTGGGTTCTCCTGGTAATCGTGACACTGATGGCTAGTGGCAAGTGGAAATTTTGATCCCTGTTTGGGGGTATATCTACTAAATTGTAAAACAAATTACACATTTTATTTATTTTCTTTTATTATACATCAGAATGTGGTATTTGTAATTTCATACCTTATGTAATCATAATAGAGGGCAAATTACACATTTTAATGGCATGTTCCTTTAAATACGTGGATTGTCCATTCCAAGTGGATCAACCCAAAACATAGAGGGATATAGATATATAATGTGCCAAGTTCTTATAAGTAATCATAAGGAATGTTCAATTGCTCTCCTTGGCAAATACTCCACTTTAAAAATGTTGCCCCAGAATTGCTTCTTTTAGGTGCCTTTAATATAGTGAGAATTTAAAATTTTTAAGGCCAAAGTGGTCAGACTAGAAGCATAGCTGATGTAGAGATTTTTTTTTTCCCCTTCAGTTCTGTTATTTTAGCCTTGTATTTGACATTCACATTGTCCTCTCAGTTTTTAGTAAATGAGCCTGTTTATGCAAAACTCTCATAGTGTGAAATAAAGTAGAATTCTGTGGCCTTGGAATCTAACCATTAGGGAACGTTTGGGGCATGAGATACAAATCATGAAATGTAACAGAAGCAAACGATACGTACTATATATTACTTAATAGAAGAAATGCACTTGATTGATACATATCTGTATCACTTCTTCTGTTCAATAACGGCAATTTATTTAGTGAAGGTGGGTCAAGTGAAATATTATACTTATATTTTATTTCCTGATTTTTTTATTTTTTTTACATTTTATCCAATACATTTTATTCTTGCAGTTGCTTTGGTTCTAAACCCTTGATTGTTCAGATGTGGTGATGTACCCTGTAACAAATAAAGGATTAATTACAAACACCCCGCTCCCCACCAAAAATGGATGCAGTAGTATAAATCCCTGGCTATCATTTCACATCTACCATTATATTTATATTCTGGGCGATTAATGATCAGACTGCGAGTTCCTCACTGCCTTTTTAGCTGTCCGATTTACCAGATAGATTTCCTTTTTTTATTAGAGAATATTTGTCAATATCACTGAGGTTTGATGGCAAGAGAACACCTATATAGGTTTTTTTTCTAAATATGAAAGTATCTATTTGTATTAGGTCATCTAAACAATTTTATTACCGATTTTTTTCCCCCTAACTCTGTTTTTGGCATGCTTTCTGCATATCAGTTTTGCCTTACCTATAACTTGATGTTTAGTAGATAACTTGAAGAATTCAGATCAGTCTGCACTTTGTATAAAATGAAACTGCGCCTTCTATCAGACATATGAGATAATAGGAAAATAACTAGTGGTTATTAATTACATTAAAGGATTACTCCAACTAAAAGAAAAAGTGTTTTCACTGAGCATAAACTAACTTATTTTCCAAGTTCTCCACTCAGCCTAATTCCTTCTTCGTGCTGTGATTAAATCCCCATATGCGGCATACGAGGCAGGTGATTTTAAATAGCCCTGAAAGATTGTTTGTTTGAATTCTTTTTATTTATTTTTTTTATTTTTTTAATGCATAAACATTTTTTTTGTCTGCACTGAGACATATTTGCGTATTATGTTAAAACCTAGGTAATTTAAGGATCTAACAGCACCACTAGTAAATAATACATGTTCTGGGTCCCCCAAATAATGCTTTTCTAGTAAGCAGAGACTGTCATAATTTGGAGGAATGTTTCTTGGTGTATGAACGGTGATGTCTAAAAGCTATAGATTGAGAGACTGTTACATATGGGAACCATTGTTTAATGGAAGAGTCCCTGGTTACACCTGTGTTAATACTGAAGCAAGCGGGTTCCAGGAAGGTAAAACCAGCATATTTTTTTTTTTTTTTAAATGTACATACCATGTTTCTTATTCTCCATCATTATAGCTGATCTTTTAAAAACAACCCATGATTCTGTACACTAAGTGGTGATTATAAACTTTAGTAGGACTTAAATTTTTAAAGCAAATTGGGTTGACTTGGCATAAACTTGCTTTGATAAGCAGCAGTGATTAAAATGTTGGCGTCTGAAATTGAATTTGCAGTTTAACTGCCAGTCTGCTACTTTGATCCAAGTAATGCAGTCTCCTATCTGTACTATGCATCTGCTAATCTCTAAACCATTTCAACAATGTTATTTATCAATACCAATTGTGACAGAACAAGTGGCTGTAAAGTGACATGCCGTATTGCCTTTATAATTTGCAGTCTTTAACTCAAAAGGGACACTTTTTAGGCCGTATAGCCACTTCTTCTCTTTGAAGTGATTATAGTGTGTGGAGCCCCCTGTGCAGTCCTTCTGTTCAGAGTTCAACCATTTCTTGAATAGCTTAATGTTACATGAGCGTTCCCATCAGCCAATCTATCTCTGTGCCTTTGGGTCATAAGCCCGAGCAGCAATGGGCGCTAGTGATTGTCTCAGAATGTCGGCTAACCACTCTCAGCCTAGCACCGTGGCTATTGTGGCCTGAATTGGTTTGGCAAATGAAGAATGTAATCTCTGCCTTAGCCATACCTCTAGTGGGGGCTGGGATGTGGGCAGCCAGGGACCCTCATCCATTGTCAAACTATGAAAATGGTTCAAAGCCTTAATGGAGAGATGGAGCCAATGGATCCAGGCACTATACACAACTACATGATGTAATTATTATGCATATAGTGTCCCTTTAAACTAATGGAGTACTTATCATGTCTTCCTTTGAGTCTACCTGGTTATTAAACTTACATTCATTTCATGATTTTGTGTTTTGCTTTTTGTCTCTCTATTCATAGAACTGAACTTTTCTGATCATGACACTTTGGTAAATCTGTGTTTTCATGTCCCCTCCTTCAGTACAATACAGTTTTTTAGTAAAGAGAGAATTCATAATGAATTTCAAACTTAAGTTCAAACTGGAAACAATTCTGAGTCTGTTTTCGGTTAAGCTTCTCTGGCCTTAAAGGACCACTATAGTGCCAGGAAAACATACTCGTTTTCCTGGCACTATAGTGCCCTGAGGGTGCCCCCACCCTCAGGGACCCCCTCCCGCCCGGCTCTGGAAGGGGGAAAGGGGTAAAAACTTATCTTTTTTCAGCGCTGGGCGGAGAGCTCTCCTCTCCGCCTCCGTTACGCCCCGCCGGCTGAATGCGCACGCGCGGCAAGAGCTGCGCGCGCATTCAGCCTGTCTCATAGGAAAGCATTTACAATGCTTTCCTATGGACGCTGGCGTGCTCTCACTGTGATTTTCACAGTGAGAAGCACGCAAGCGCCTCTAGTAGCTGTCAATGAGACAGCCACTAGAGGATTAGGGGGAAGGCTTAACCCATTCATAATTATAGCAGTTTCTCTGAAACTGCTATAATTATGAAAAAATGGGTTAACCCTAGAAGGACCTGGCACCCAGACCACTTCATTAAGCTGAAGTGGTCTGGGTGCCTAGAGTGGTCCTTTAAATATGAAATTCACTTTGAATCGTCACTTCTAGTAAATAATCCTGATAGAATGCCTTGGCTGTGCCAAAATGGAACTGGATTGTGATGTCATTTGCTCAATCCTTAATATACATTTAAAAGACAATGAAGAATGACCTGAAAGTTTTAACAAAAGATCTCCGTGATTATCAATGTGTCATTCAGTAGTGTAAGGTCCTCACAACTAACATTACTGCTAAATAGTCATGGTTGGGGAATTATTCTGTATAAATATAGAGAAAATGGCCATGAAAATTTAATAAGTAGTTTTGGAAAGGAGCATTAGGATTATTGCCACGTTGTTTATTATGTTGAGTTGGGATGACTTGTGTGAGCTAGGTGTCAATTGAGATGATTTGAAGACACATCCTCGCTCACTATCTACGAGTCACAAGAAATAAAGCAAAAGCCCCAATTCCAGCCTTAAAAAGTAGATGGTTTGCTATTTAAAGTGTGTTAAACATTTTACATGCAAAACCAAAGTAAAATTGTGAAACGTCTAAACAAATGAAGGGGGGGGAAAAAAAGTTTACACCCAAAGTAAAGGAGAGTGGGGGGGTGGTGGCTGCAAACTGTAGAGATTAAAGTCCCTAATTCTTCTATTCCAAGCCTGGACTTAACCCGAAATCAATCATAATAGAAGGATATTTAGAACTGTACACCTGATCAATTTAGGATAGAGCGAGAGAGGAGAAATAGTTTCATTAAGAAATAAAAATTGGGCAAAAAAGTGGCTATAATAAACGAATGAAGCAATTTGTGCAAAAGTATAAAAAGCCAGTGACTTCCTAATAGCTAAAAGTGGATATGGGATAGCAACAGATCTGAGTATAAGAGCGGAATTAAGTAAAATAAGAATCTTCCTATACTCTGAATATTCACAACTCCTAAGCTAAGCAACATAAATAAACCAAACGTTACCAGAATGGAGGTGAACAGATGTGTAGTCAGGTAAGGGAGTCAGGAGCTATAAAGGGTAACTGAAAAAGTCCCAACGTCAGCCCCCACTAGTGTTGTCGCAAACTTTTCGCAAACGGTTCGTGGCGAACTCCGGTCAGCTGACACATCGCGGCCAATCTCCAGCAGACCCTCCCACCTCCTGGACAGCATCCATGTTGAGCCTTCAACATGGATGCTGTCCAGGAGGTGGGAGGGTCTGCTGGAGATTGGCCGGGATGTGTCTGGATGCTGTCCAGGAGGTGGGAGGGTCTGGGAGGGAGGGTCTGCTGGAGATTGGCTGGGATGTGTCAGCTGACCGGAGTTCGTGGTGAACCGTTTGCGAAAAGTTCGCGAACGGTTCGCGACAACACTAGTGGGGGCTGACGTTGGGACTTTTTCAGTTACCCTTTATAGCTCCTGACTCCCTTACCTGACTACATGGATGCTGAGGCTCCCAGAGCCTTCAACATGGATGCTGTCCAGGAGGTGGGAGGGTCTGGGAGGGAGGGTCTGCTGGAGATTGGCCGGGATGTGTCAGCTGACCGGAGTTCGCCACGAACGGTTCGTGGTGAACCGTTCGCAAAAAGTTCGCGAACGATTCGCGACAACACTAGCCCCCACAACTAAGAAGATGAAAAAGAGACAAATGAGGAAAAATACATTGGGTAATAGTTCTCAATAATAAGGGTTCTGTGTAGGTTTACGAATCATACAAATAGACACCCCCCCACCCCCCCACTAACTGTAATCCCAAACACAACATCAGTATTCCATAAAATAGAAGGGTGTACTTACATAACCAAAATATAAATAGAGGAGAACCCTCAAGAATAAACGCAAAAGAGAGGGGGGAAAAAAGACAAACTTCTACAGCTACATCGGTCTAGCAAGGTCACCAAACTGTCAGAAACCTCCCATCAGTAAAGCACTCCGCGCAATAGCACCAACACGGTGTCCGCATGAGGTTATCACTGGTAAGGGTAAACTAAACATAAAACAGACCCCATCATAACACTTACACATACATGCTGCCTAAATACCCTGGCACACTGGATAACGTGCCTACTGGATACCTGTAATGGCTAAAAACTATATACAGTGTAGAGAATGCTACTCATAAAAGTGAGGTGCATAACAGAGGGACACAGCAGAAGACACATACGGCTCAAGATACATGTAATGTAACTAAAGTGGTGCAAACAGTGGGCGGGATATCATCTGTCAACAAACCACTGAACCTTGAAGTGGATGCAATACAGTAGGAGAAGACCATTGCGGTCAACTAAGAACAGGAAACTAAGTCTCCACCGGGCACAAATGTATTGAAACAGAAGAAAAAAAGTAATGTTTTGGCAAATCTTATTTTCTGCTGCAACATGAAGAAGGTGGGGTCAGAATGATGTGGGGAATATTACTTGCCACCACACATTAACCCCTGAATACCAACTAAGTATCAGATATAAATACCTCGGTATTGTTTGTGGCTATATGTCTAAGCAGCGGTAGGCAATCATCGGCACTCCAGATGTTGTGGACTACATATAGTTACATAGCTGAAAAGAGACTTGCGTCCATCAAGTTCAGCCTTCCTCACATTTGTTTTTGGCTGTTGATCCAGAAGACAAAAAAAACCCCAGTTTGAAGCACTTCCATTTTTGCAACAAGCTAGGAAACAAATTCCTTCTTGACCCCAGAATGGGTGTCACTTGTCATACTTATTGTCCTCATTAATATAATCTCTTGGTGAAAGGCATTGTCACGGTGCAACACACTTACTCAACGGGCGCCACGTGTTCCAGCTTTGGTTTACCCCTCGTCTGACTAATCCAGTGGTGACCATTTGGTAAAACTTTACTTAACATGTTAAATATTTGATATTACTTGTATTGCCAATCAAGATTCTGCCTTGTTTGCTGTTTCCATTTTGCACTGGGACCTTCAGCTAAATATTTTGCCTTATCAATAAAGACTTTAAGTTTAGTGACTGTGTTCGTCCAAATCTCTCATATTGAGCCCATTCACCTCAAACCTCTGAGAGGCACGCCCCCAAGATTTTATGGGTTCCTACACCTGGAACAAAGATTTTAGAGTTCAAGTTAACCATAAGGAATGCTTGGTAAAATAAGATAATCTGATCCCACTCTGACTATCGCAAGGTTTAGTGGACATGGGTCAAGAGAAAGCACTTCCAGGAGAAATCTTCTCATGGCTTTTAAGTTCATTGCGTCGATAAGCATGCATTGTGTTAGGCTGGAGAAATCCAATCCATAAACTAAGCAATATTGGGAAAATGATTTCAACAATAACCTCTGTACATTGTTTCTAAATAATATGTTTGACTACATGTAGAATTCCTTTCATAGTGATCATATATCAATGGGAGACCAAACAAATGTGTTTAAATATATATATATATAACAACAAACGATTATTGGTGTGAATGAAAATTAGATAACTTTGGTAAATAGAATGATATGGTGCTAACTATAATTACATACCAATAAATTGTGGAGTTTGTTGTTGGTATTTGTATATTATATGGGCTTTTGCAGAGTAAGCCTGATGTGAACATGTAGCTGTTCAGTTGAAGAATTTTCCACCACTCAATATTGTGTTTTTATAGGTGTTGTTTAATTATAAACATGTAAATCTTTGGATTACATATATCTTTATTGGTTCACTGAAATGTGTCACCGTTTATAGAGTTGCATTAATCTTTTTTTTTTGTGTCTTTTGTTTTTTTCTTTTTACAGTGTAGCAACCACTTGGCAATCACTTCCTCCAGGGTCCACTAGTTCATAAATGATTGTTTTGGCCTCATCAGCAGCTGAGCTTTAATAAACGAGTTGGCTGAACACGGTGCAAGTTCCCGTCTGCATTTCTAAGCAGCGTTCATTGAATGTCCAGCAGTATTTAATTAGCTCAGTTATGAAATGCATAGATTATCCATTGTGCAAAACAATTAAAAGCACTGGAGGATTCTGTAGACTATTGACATATCTATGAAGTTGCTTTCCATGTGATCAATTATGAATTACCAAAGATTATCTATCCCAGAATATAAATAATGATTAAAATGGAGCTTATGAGAGATGAATTCTCAGCGAAGGGGTACTGGGCTTTCAAGCGTTCCATCTACAATTCCAGCCGGCAGCCTAATTTTATATCCAATCTACAATTTTTAATTAACTTGACTATCTATTAACTGCAGCTCAGCAAATTACCTTTTATGTTTAAATTAAAGTACATGATTGATTATTTTTAAGAGCAGGACTGAGATGCAGCTTTGACCGATCCATTAGCAAGCCTTTATGTCACACACCATTTAATAGTTTGATGTGTCCTGAGACTTGCATGTCATGTAGTATCTATACCATGTAAAAATTACTTACCTTGTTTTACTCATGATGTATCGTTATACATATATATTCTAATTTAAATATATATATATATATATATAAAACACGTAAATGCAGTTATTAAAATAAGTGATACAGAAGTGATCTGTGCTATTATAACCCGTAATGAATAGAAAATAATGCATATTTTGCTACTGTGCAGTAAAGGGGTCAATATCTTAGATGAGAGTGCAATTCCCATCAATAATTTTAGACAGCACTGGGGGTGGGGAGGGGAGCAAGCATGCAGTGGGCTGTACATTGTTCCTAGCAAGAAAGTTTGCAGTGCTAACATTGAAAAGCCTGCAGGGACATGCTATAGACACCAGGACAACTACATTAAGCTGTAGTGCTTCTGGTGACTATAGTGTCCCTTTAATAATGAAGGACATTGTATAGTGCATACGCCAGTTACAATATTAGATTTCTTATTACGCATCCCTAGGCAGAGGCATGATAACTATATGATATTGCAACTGCAGAGCATTTCATTTTTGTTGGAATGGTGGGAGGAATGCTACAGGATTACATAAATTCAATATACATAAAATAGAGGTAAAATCGAGACTAGCTATTAGCAGCTATTACCGGCCATTTACTTTAATTAGATTGCAGAATACAACCTTCAAATGGATACACTTCTTCTGACCCTGAGTACGTCACATTGCATGCTTTCTATTTTAGCTACATTGCTAAGAGTTGCAAGCTAGAATAGTCTATCTACAGCCAATTCATTGAAGGGATACGGTAGGCATCAAAACAACATTAGCTTCATTAAGCAGTTTTTACAGTAAGCTAAAGTTGTTTTGATGCCTACAGTGTTCCGTTTTCTATGTATAGCGCTGCATACCTGCAGACCGATCAGCCCATTATGACCCCTGCCCACCACTGAAAGTGTCTTCAATGGGGATGTGAGCATCAGAATGTTGCCATGGAGCATGAAAGAAAGTTGCCTGGTCTGATGAACCATGTTTTTTTTTTAGATCAGGAGGATGACCAGAGGTGTGTGTGCATTATTTGCCTGGGGAAGTGATGGCAGCAGGATGCACTATGGGAAGAAGGCAGGCCAGTGGAGGCAGTTTTTTGCTCTGGGTAATGTTCTGCTGGCAAACCTTGGGTTCTGGCATTCATGTGGACGTTACTTTGTCACATACCACCTACTTAGAGATTGTTGCAGATCACATGTAACCCTTAATGGCTATCGTGTTCCCTGATGGCAGTGGCTTCTTTCAGCAGGATAATTCACCCTGCTACATTGCAAACATTGTTCAGGAATGGTGTGAGGAACATGACAAAGAGTTCAAGGTGGTGCCTTGGTCTCCAAATTCGCCAGATCTAACTCTGAGCATGTGTGCTGGAACAACAAATCTGATCCATGGAGGCCTCATCTCGCATACTTGCAGGACTTAAATGATCTGCTAATGTCTTGGTGCCAGATACCACATGACACATTCAGAGGTCTTGTGGAGTCCATTCCTTGATGCCTCAGAACTGCTTTGGCCAGGGGGAACTACATGTTATTAAGCAAGTGGTGCTAATGTTGTGTAATCAGTGTGAAGCCATCCAGTTAGAAACAGCAGGGAGGCAGTCAGAGACTTCCAAACTTTCCCTGTTACAGTCTATAATAAATGTGGCGGTGAGGCTCATCTTCCTGTCCGACCGCACTTCCCATGCCTCCCCCTCTCTCATTCCATACACTGGCTTTCTGTTAGGTTTATGGCTCAATTTAAAATTCTGGTGCTTGCTTGGAAATCTTTACATAAAGTTGCTCATTGCTACCATAATTATATGTGCTATTAGCGGTATATGCCCACCGTAGTTTGCAGGAGGCTCGTATGCCCGAGACCTCAGCCATCCGAAGTTTTAGAGAAATCAATTCATCTGGATGATAACAAATTCTGAGGTAAAAAAATATCATTATCGGTGGTTGGAGGTGTCAGGCTAAGTGAGCCAGTGGCGGCTCTAGACTTTGTGAGGCCTTAGGCCACAGTGGGAAAAAAAAATAGGGTATGTGTGTATTGGTTGTATGTGATATTTGTGCTGGATTTGTTGGCTGTGTGTGATTGGTATTTAATTCAGATAAAAATATGCATTTAGGCCTATGTGTGAATGTAGGTGTATATTTTTGCAGAGTTATGTGCACATAGTCCCACAGTCAGATGCACACAGTTATACATTTGCATTGTCAAAGCCACCACATGCACACAGTTGCAGGCAGATAGTCACATACACAGGATCAGGCAGAAACACACAGGTACAGACAGTAATACACATACAGTTACAGGCAGCTAAACACACTCACACACAATTACAGGCAGACAGACACACACACACACACAGGCAGACAGACAGCCCCCCCCCCACACACAGCCACACATACAGTCTTACACATACTTACATGCAGATAATCACACGCACACACACACACACAGACACACACACACACACAGACAGACAGCCACAAAGACATACACACACAGGCAGACAGCCACACACACACAGTCAGGCAGCCACACACAGGCAGCCACACACAAACACACAGGCAGACAGCCACACACACACACACAGGCAGACAGCCATACACACACACAGAGGCAGACAGCCATACACACACAGAGACAGACAGCCGCACACAGCCCAACACATACAGTCACACATACAGTCTTACACACACATACTTACATGCAGACAGTCACACACACACGCAGACAGACAGACACACACACCGGCAGACAGCCACACCCACACAGGCAGGCAGTCACACAGAGGCAGACAGCCATACACACACAATTTAAAATTCTGGTGCTTGCTTGGAAATCTTTACATAATGTTGCTCATTCCTACCATAATTATATGTGCTATTAGTGGTATATGCCCACCGTAGTTTGCAGGAGGCTCGTATGCCCGAGACCTCAGCCATCCGAAGTTTTAGAGAAATCAATTCATCTGGATGATAACAAATTCTGAAGTAAAAAAATATCATTAGGGGGGCGTGGCTAGCAGAGCAGCACACAAGACGTGTTTATGTGGAGCTCCTGCTTCACTAATCTAAAATTGATCCAAAAGCCACGAATATACCAAACTGAGACTCCAAAAACCGAGCAACAGCAAGTATTAGACCCCCCTACAGAGAGATGGGGAAGAAAAACAAGAAAATCGCCCGCCTAGAAAGCTCACACCAACCTGACATTAGGCGATCCTTTGAGAAGCCACAGCAGGCTCCACAGGCCAAGATGGCGCCGAGTAGGCCCCGAAACGCCAGCGAGTCCGACTCGTCTATGGAGGAGGAGAACTCCCAGAACGCGACCCCGGCCGCCACATTATACAGGTCGGAGACATCTGACTCTGATGACTCGCCTTCCACAAAGGGCGACATAAAAAAGCTCCTCCTAGACCTCCGGGAAATGTGGAGGTCGGACCTGGCCGGTGTGAGGACGGAAGTGGCAGACATGAAGGGGCGCCTGGAGGCAGTGGAAACCCGAGAAGGCCAAAGAGACGCCTTACTGACTGACTCCAGAAAGCAAACGGATGCACTGACACTACAAATCCAAAGACTCACTCGCACAGTCACGGAGATGGAGACGCGCCACCGCAGAAGAAATGTCCGCATACGCGGAGCCCCGGAGGACATTAACCCAGAAACCTTATTGGCCTACGCAAACAAAGTGGCCATGGTGATGGGTGCAAAAAAGGAGGGAGACACATGGCCGATTACAACAGCGTTCCGAATTCGGAAAGCTCCGACCGCCCCAGCGGACGCACCGAGAGACATCATAGCCGTTACCCAAGACGTCACGGTTAAAGCGGCACTGATGGCCTCCTCCAGGAAGACCCCCACCGTAGCCGTGGACAACCACCACGTGCAAGTTTTCGCTGATATCCCATTCACAACCCTGATGGAGCGGAGAAAATTTATGGCAATCACCCGCCAACTGAGAGACAAGGGTATCAGATACCGGTGGGGAGCAGCAGGCACACTAGTGGTCCCACAAAAGGACTCAATCCTCACACTGTCTGCGGATGAAAACCCGGCAGGATTCCTCCAGGCCCTCCAGCTGCAGCTGCAAGCACCCACGGACGGGGTGGGCGAGACCGAGAATTGGGAGTCTGAGAACCGAGAGAGCAACACCAGGGCGGAGAGGAAGAGGAGCAAACAGCACCCACACAATACCCTACAGACCTGAACAAGCAAAAGGTTAACCCACGATAATCACCAGATGTGATGAGATGGTAAAGCAGAATGGCAGAGTGACCGTGAAGGCCGGGTGGCCCGAGCTCCTGAAATCTCCTCTGCAATGCCACGTGTGCAAGCAGCCGCACTCGACCATTCCTCAACTGAAAGAACATCTGAGGAAGCACTGGACACAATAGCCATGCAAACTCAAGGCTTGTAGGACACTCAGAGACTCGGTTATTTAGCAAAGGTTTGTTTCATCAGTTTTTAGGTTGTTGTCCAGTTACTGTCCCACTATCAAAAGAAAAATGTTTCTCTTAATGTACTAGTGGGTATTAAATTCCTATGAAGGAGTCCTGTCACATATTGGTAGGAACAAAACACGTCACATTAGAAAGCTAACTACTATATGTCTTTGTTATTTTCTGTTTTTTTTTAATTTTTTTATTTTTTTTATCTATAAAAATGACGTATAAAGATGCCGAGAACAGTAGTAAACAGTATTAAACTGATGTATAAAGATGCCGAGAACAGTATTGAATGTTGTACAACATGTAATAATTGCAAGCGGAAACGATCTCGAGCTATTAGACGCTATATACAGGATGTAAACTCTTAAAATCGAAATATCGTGAACAGTACTTGATGTGCATACTTGACCCTACCCTCTTTCATTCTATACCCCAAGTGTGATTTTAAAATATTCCATAAATATTTTACATTATTCATCATAGCTAGTTTCTATAATGCTATATTAACTCATAAAAATGTGCAATGTTAGTAAGCCATATGAATGTTTCTCTATGTCTACTATAAAGCCTGCACCAGCTGTTGTGGCAATGCAAGCATACCTGTATATTCTATGCACAACCAAAATAAAGAATTTAAAAAAAAAAAAAAAAAATATCATTATCGGTGGTTGGAGGTGTCAGGCTAAGTGAGCCAGTGGCGGCTCTAGACTTTGTGAGGCCTTAGGCCATAGTGGGGGAAAAAATACGGTATGCGTGTATTGGTTGTATGTGATATTTGTGCTGGGTTTGTTGGCTGTGTGTGATTGGTATTTAATGCAGATAAAAATATGCATTTAGGCCTATGTAGGTGTATATTTTTTCAGAGTTATGTGCACATAGTCCCACAGTCAGATGCACACAGTTATACATATGCATTGTCAAAGCCACCACATGCACACAGTTGCAGGCAGATAGTCACATACACAGGATCAGGCAGAAACACACAGGTACAGACAGTAACACACATACAGTTACAGGCAGATAAACACACTCACACACAATTACAGGCAGACAGACACACACACACACAGGCAGACAGACAGCCCCCCACACACACAGCCACACATACAGTCTTACACATACTTACATGCAGATAGTCACACGCACACACACACACACACACACACACACACAAAGACAGACACACACAGACAGACAGCCACAAAGACATACACACACAGGCAGACAGCCACACACACACAGTCAGGCAGCCACACACAGGCAGCCACACACACACACACACACAGGCAGACAGCCATACACACACAGAGACAGACAGCCACACACACACAGCCCAACACATACAGTCACACATACAGTCACACACACACACACACACACACACACACACACACACACACACACACACACACACACACACACACACACACAGGCAGGCAGCCACACACACACAGGCAGACAGCCACACCCACACAGGCAGGCAGTCACACAGAGGCAGACAGCCACACCCACACAGGCAGGCAGTCACACAGAGGCAGACAGCCATAGACACACAGGCAGACAGTCACACACACTGGCAGACAGCCACACACAGGCAGTCAAACACACAGGCAGTTACACACACACAGGCAGAGAGTCTCACACACACACACATATACACACCCAGGCAGACAGTTATACACACAGACACACACACACAAGCAGGCAGACAGTCAAACAAACAGACAGCTACACACACACACACACACACACACAGACAGTCAGTCACATAGACACACACACACACAGGCAGACAGGCTTACACACAGACACACACACAGGAAATTAGTCAAACACACCAACAGACAGCCACACACACATACACACACACACGCAGACAGCCAGACACACACACACACACACACAGGCAGTCACACACACACAGGCAGGCACACACAAACATACAGGCAGACAGCCACAAACACACACACACACACACACACAGGCAGACAGCCATACACACACAGAGACAGGCAGTTACACACACAGAGGCAGACAGCCAGACACACACACACACACACACAAAGGCAGACAGCCATACACACACAGAGACAGGCAGTGACACACACAGAGGCAGACAGCCAGACACACACACAGGCAAACAGCCACACACACACACACACACACACACATACAGGCAGTCACACACAGGCAGGCAGTCATGCACACACAGGCAGTCATGTACACACACACACACACAGGCAGACAGTCATACACACAGACACACAAACACAGACAGTCACACACACAGGCAGGCACACACAAACACACATACAGGCAGACAGCCAGACACACACAGGCAGGCAGTCCACACACACAGGCAGGCAGTCACACACAGACAGCCACACACAAACACACATACAGGCAGACAGCCGCACACACACACACACACACACGCAGACAGCCATACACACAAATGTTGATATAGATATTATTTGTTTTTTGTAATGCATTGGGAAACATGTGCCAATACTTATTACTCACTTATTTATTTATTTATATATTTTCATATATTTTTTTATATATTTTTTTTTTATATATATATTTTATATTTTTTATACTTATATGTTATAGTCTTTATACTTATATAATATCATAAATTGGACAGTTTTTTCCCTTTGCAAAGAATTATAAATTTGTATTAATTTGGGTATGAGAATGAGTGTCCAGTTTCATCTCCAAATGGAGTTTGGATATACATATAGTTTTTTATATTGGGTCTATTTTTCCATAGGGGGAGGATAAACTGGACACAATTCTTAAGCTATCATTATATAGACATGGTTAATTAATTTTATTTACTTAAATGAAATATATTAATGACATATAAATTATTGCTTGCTAGCTCATTCGATTTTTTTAGATAGATATTAATAGTACATCGAAGGTGGAACGCAGATCAGCCACATGGAACACACACGTCATCATAGTGCGCCCAGGAAAGATGGCGCACTGGAAATGACGCCAAAAATCCGGAAGTGAATGCTGATCATACCGGGCGATTTGAATTTCATTAAGGAAGATTAAGAACAGCTGAGTGACTTGTGGAAACACCCGAAACTACAACGATCAAGAGCCATTTATAAAGAGAGACTCGGGGGGGAGGTTATATTCTGCTTCATAGGAATTTATTATTCTGTTAAATTATTTTATTGCTTTTCATTTTATGTTGCTATACACTTTGGGAGATTCCCTGAGGAAGCCCTATTTTGGGTGTAACACTCCTTAGCAACTTTTGTAATTTTTTAAGCTTTTTTTAGCTTAATTTTATACTTTGGATTAATAAAGCAGTTTTTTTCCTGCATCCTGAGTCCGGCTCTTCATATTTACAGCAGTGGTCCCAAAGACTAAGGCTATAGCACCCCATACCATCAGGGGAGGCACCTTTCTGTGATTTATTCCATCACATCTTGTGAGTGCACTCTAATCTTGTGTTTTTTATTATGTTATAAC